TGTGACGGTCTGGTCATGAATCTAATTGCGAATGAATTGGAGTGTGAATGAGTCTCAGTAGTACGAGCGCGTCTCTGCGCATGAGACTGGGGCCTCCGGCGGCCTCCTGAAACCTCGTGGGGCTTCCTGGTGCCTCCAGAAGCCTCTTGGGGCCTCCTGGGTCCTCTTGGGGCTTCGTCTGGCCTTCTGAGGCCTCCTGGAGCCTCGCGTGGCCTCCTGGGCCCTCCTGGAGCCTCCTGGGATCTCCTAGGGAGGATTCGTGCCCCAGGAGAGGCCCAATCCATAGGAACAGACGAACATCAAACATTGCGGATTGGAGCCGCAGGAGAAGGGCAATCTAATGGAACACACGTAAACCACCAAGGACTCGTGCCCCAGGGGAGGCCCAATCTATAGGAACATACGTAAAACATGTAGGATTGTATGCACAGGAGGAGGACAATCGTGGATTCATGATTCGTGCTCCAGGGGAGGCCCAAAAAATAGGAGCATACTAAAACACATGGGAGTTGAGTCACTCCTGTTGCCTTCTGAGGCTTCCTGCTCCTGGGGCCTCTTGGGGACTTCTGTTGCCTTCTGGGGCCTCCTGGCGCTTCCTGTGGCCTCCTGGGGCCTCCTGTGGCTTCCTGAGGCCTCCTGGAGTTTCCTGGGGCCTCCTGGAGCTTCTTGGGACATCCTGTGGCTTCTGGAGTCTTCCTGTGGCCTCCTGATGCCTCCTGGGAACTCCTGTGGCCTCCCGGGGCCTCCTGGAGCCTGCTGGAGCCTCCTGTGGCATCCTGGGGAGGATCTATGCCCACGAGTCTGGCCATCTGGGCCCCCTGGGGTGCGAAAATGAGCACGAGACATCCTCAGAATCTGCTCCGAAAACGAAGGATGTTCGCGACCTAAGCAGGCAAACCGCCTGAGACATCCCCGCAATCTGGGCGTGAACGGAGGCCTTGAGATACCCCCTGGCGCCCAGGAGTGTTAGAACCAGCAAGCCGCTCGAGACATCCTCATCATCTGCTCATCGTCATCATCATCAGCATCATCGTCATCAACATCATCATCATCATCATCATCATCATCATCATCATCATCATCATCATCATCATCATCATCATCATCATCATCAGCATCATCATCATCAGCATCAGCATCAGCATCAGCATCATCATCATCAGCATCATCATCATCACCATCATCATCATATTCACCCATCACTCACCATAACCATGATACTCACATCATACTCTCAGCATACACTCACCATACCATGGTCATCATTATGACACTCATCATCATCATCGTCTAGTACAGAGAGGGAGGAGGCAGTGGAGGGATGATGATGAGGGGTCTGGCGCGGTCAGATAATTATTCGAATTATTACCTAACATCGAAGACTGATGGGTTTCTAATGGTGTAAAAAGAGAGCAGCACATTACTCCACAGGGGGGTCTGGGCAGCCGTTGGGGAGCCGTTGGGGGGCCGTTGGGGGGGCCGTTGAGGATTTCCGGGGGGGATCCGCGGAACCTCGTTTTCGCATACAGTCACACACTTCGTGCTTTTCGACCTCCCAGAACTCCATTCCCGGGCCACATTCTGAATGCCCGGAGCCAACTGTACGCCACTTCGTGCTCTTCGACTTCCCAGAACTCCATTCCCGGGCCACATTTTGGATGCCCGGAGCCAACTGTAGGCCACTTCGTGCCCTTCGACTTCCCAGAACTCCATTCCCGGGCCACATTTTGGATGCCCGGAGCCAACTGTAGGCCACTTCGTGCTCTTCGAGTTCCCAGAACTCCATTCCCGGGCCACATTTTGAATGCCCGGAGCCAACTGTAGGCCACTTCGTGATCTTCGAGTTCCCAGAACTCCATTCCTGGGCATGATTTTGAATGCCCGGAGCCAACTGTAGGCCACTTCGTGTTCTTCGAGTTCCCAGAACTCCATTCCCGGGCCACATTTTGAATGCTGAGGCAGGCTGATGCTGAGGCTGAGGCAGGCTGAGGCTGAGGCAGGCTGAGGCTGAGGCCGAGGCTGAAGGCAGACTGAGGCTGAGGCTGAAGCAGGCTGAGGCTGAGGCAAGGCAGGCTGAGGCTGAGGCAGGCTGAGGCTGAGGCAGGCTGAGGCTGAGGCTGAGGCTGATGCAGGCTGAGGCTGAGGCAGGCTGAGGCTGAGGCTGAGGCAAGGCTGAAGGCAGACTGAGGCTTTGGCTGAAGCAGGCTGAGGCTGAGGCTGAGGCTGAGGCAGGCTGAGGCTGAGGCTGAGGCAGGCTGATGCTGAGGCAGGCTGAGGCTGAGGCTGAGGCTGATGCAGGCTGAGGCTGAGGCAGGCTGAGGCTGAGGCCGAGGCTGAAGGCAGACTGAGGCTGAGGCTGAAGCAGGCTGAGGCTGAGGCTGAGGCAGGCTGAGGCTGAGGCTGAGGCAGGCTGATGCTGAGGCAGGCTGAGGCTGAGGCTGAGGCTGATGCAGGCTGAGGCTGAGGCAGGCTGAGGCTGAGGCCGAGGCTGAAGGCAGACTGAGGCTGAGGCTGAAGCAGGCTGAGGCTGAGGCTGAGGCAGGCTGAGGCTGAGGCTGAGGCAGGCTGATGCTGAGGCAGGCTGAGGCTGAGGCTGAGGCTGAGGCTGAGGCTGCAGGCTGAGGCTGAGGCAGGCTGAGGCTGAGGCCGAGGCTGAAGGCAGACTGAGGCTGAGGCTGAAGCAGGCTGAGGCTGAGGCTGAGGCAGGCTGAGGCTGAGGCTGAGGCAGGCTGAGGCTGAGGCAGGCTGAGGAGGCTGAGGCTGATGCAGGCTGAGGCTGAGGCAGGCTGAGGCTGAGGCCGAGGCTGAAGGCAGACTGAGGCTGAGGCTGAAGCAGGCTGAGGCTGAGGCTGAGGCAGGCTGAGGCTGAGGCTGAGGCAGGCTGATGCTGAGGCAGGCTGAGGCTGAGGCTGAGGCTGATGCAGGCTGAGGCTGAGGCAGGCTGAGGCTGAGGCCGAGGCTGAAGGCAGACTGAGGCTGAGGCTGAAGCAGGCTGAGGCTGAGGCTGAGGCAGGCTGAGGCTGAGGCTGAGGCAGGCTGAGGCTGAGGCTGAGGCTGAGGCGAGGCCGAGGCTGAGGCAGACTGAGGCTGAGGCTGAAGCAGGCTGAGGCTGAGGCTGAGGCAGGCTGAGGCTGAGGCTGAGGCAGGCTGATGCTGAGGCAGGCTGAGGCTGAGGCTGAGGCTGATGCAGGCTGAGGCTGAGGCAGGCTGAGGCTGAGGCCGAGGCTGAAGGCAGACTGAGGCTGAGGCTGAAGCAGGCTGAGGCTGAGGCAGAGGCTGAGGCTGAGGCTGAGGCAGGCTGATGCTGAGGCAGGCTGAGGCTGAGGCTGAGGCTGATGCAGGCTGAGGCTGAGGCAGGCTGAGGCTGAGGCCGAGGCTGAAGGCAGACTGAGGCTGAGGCTGAAGCAGGCTGAGGCTGAGGCTGAGGCAGGCTGAGGCTGAGGCAGGCTGAGGCTGAGGCTGAGGCAGGCTGAGGCTGAGGCTGTGACTGCGACTGCCGTTGCCACTGCGACTGTCATCGCGAATGCGACTACGACTGCGAGAACAGCAGAATTCTACAACTGGATTCTCATCCGAATCTTAAGGGGAATGCTTCCAGATATGCTCCTACACATCGATGTTAGGTTGCTTTGCCGGGAAAATTTTTAATCGCTTCGCTCATTCCGCCGGCCCTCGAGCGCTCTATGGGGCCTCTTTGAAGCCTCTTGGGGGCCTCTTTGGGGCCTCCTAGGGGCCTCTTGGGGGCCTCTTGGGGGTCTCTTGGGGCTCCTTGGCGGCGTCTTGGGACCCCCTTGGGCCTCTTGGGTGGCTCTTGGGGGCCTCTTGGGGCGGGGTAGTCGAGGGCACCCCCCTCGGAGGCCACGATCCTCGTGAGGGGTGTCGAAAAAAAGGCCCTCAAAACCATCTCTGATTCGACCCTGCCGGGGATCGCCCGGGGTACTTTTCGCCGGGGGACCCCCAGGGGCCGCCCCGCGCGCGCGAACTAGAAGTATTATTTAGCAGTTACCGGAGATCTTAGCACGGCTCTGGCCCGTTGGGCCGGCGAATTCATTGCGTGGAGCTCTCCCCATATGTGCATCTCTTTGCATTGGCATTTCCGCAGAAAAAGTCTAGGCGCAAGCAACTTCAAACATAAACGAGCTTGGATATTGATGACAGCCTGGGCGAGAGTCTAATTGTGAATGACTTTGAGTGTGTATGATCCCCAGTAGTACGAGCGAGTCTATGCGCGTGAGCCTGCGTATGGCTAAGCTTAGGGTGAGAGTATCTGTTCGCCAGTGGCCTGAGCATGACTGAGCGTGACAGAATCCTCCTAGGGGCTCTTGGGGCTTCATGGGGCTTCCTCAAGTCTCCTGGGGCTCCTGGGGCCTCCTGGGGCCTCTTGGGGCTTTCCGGGGTTTGCCTAGACTTCATGGAGCTTCTTGGAACTCCTAGGGCCTCCTGCGGCTTCCTCCCTGGAGCCTCTTGGGGACTCCTGGGGCCTCCTGGGGCATCTTGGGGACTGCTCCTCCTTGAGCCTCCTGGGGCTTCCTGAGGCCTCTTCGGGCTTCCTTCCTGGCGTCTCCTGGCCACCAAAACAGGCAAACCGCTCTAGACATCCTCGTAATGTGGGCCCCCCTGGGGTGCGATAACCAGCGCCTCGCACGAGACATCCTTAGAATCTGCTCCGAAAACAAAGGATGTTCGCGACCAAAACAGGCAAACCGCCTGAGACATCCCCGCAATCTGGGCGCGAACGGAGGCCGTGAGACACCCCTGGCGGCCCCCCCTTAAGAGGCGGCTCGCACGAGACATCCTCAAAATCTGCTCCGATAACGAAGGATGTTCGCGACCAAAGCAGGCAAACCGCCTGAGACATCCCCGCCATTTGGGCGCTCACGGAGGCCGTGAGATACCCTTGGCGCCCCCCCCACTTAGGAGTGCTAAAACCAGCAAGCCAATTGAGACACCGTCATCATCTGCTCGTCGTCATCATCATCATCACCACCATCGTCATCATCATCATCATTATCAGCAGCAGCAGCATCATCATCATAATCATCATCTCATCATCATCCTCCTCCTCCTCCTCCTCATCATCATCATCATCATCATCATCATCATCATCTTCATCTTCATCACCATCATCATCACCAGACTCATCCATCATTCGCCATCATCAGACTCATCCATCAACTCATCCATCATTCTCACCATCACCACCATACTCACATCATATTCTCGTCTAGCGCAGAGGGGGATGAAGGGAGGAATGATGATGAGGGGTCCGACGCGGTCAGAGAATGACAAGAACCCCATCCTTTGGATATGTGGAATAGCAAGAACCCCATCCTGTGGATATGGGGAAAACATTGGGTACCCGAAGCGTTTCGTCGCGACCAACGAGATCGGTCGCCACCGATTTGGCTTCAAATGCCGGTATCGGTCGCGACCGATTTGCTTCAAAACGGTCGCGATCGGTCGCGACCGATTTGGAAATCGGCCGCGATCGGTCGCGACCGATTTGGAGTGTCGATCGGTCGCTACCCATCGCGACCGAACAACTCTGGCATGGAATGATGTGGGTTTGGGGAGGGGGCCAACAAACATGTCGATACCTATCGCCTGCCGATGTGGTTGTGCGGAACGCCCCGCTTCGCACGTGAGGCCCCTCGCCGCCGCCGCCCCGATCCTGCGACACCTTCGTGGTGCTGCCAGCGCCCGCCACCGGCCTGCCGGCGTGCTTCGGGAAGAACTCGGACCGCCCCTCGGAGGAGTTGTCTGGGCCTCCCAGATGCGGTCCGAGTAGAGCACGCCGATTTCCTCAACGCCGACGTCGCCGATGCCTCGTCGATACATCGGCGATTCGGTGCGATCATCCGGCCCCGAACTGCATACGGAATAACTGGGTACGACGCCCAACAACGAACGTTGTCCAAAACCGACAGCGGCCTCTGTTCTGCAGGTGCTTGTCTGTCCCAACTGGACAACGTCCGCGGCCGCACCACCAGCCAGTCCTGTCCCAAATGGACAGGAGCTGCCTGTCGGCCCTCATCGCTGATATTTCAATACCCGTTTCGACCGCCCCTCAGAGGAGGAGCACGAGGTCGTGCACGTGCCCCGCAGGCAGCACGCCGAGGGCTCGGCTGTGAGGTCCGGGCAGTGCCACCATTCCTGATCACCGGATGCCCGGATGTTGCTGCACATGCGTTTCAGATTCCAGTATCGGTCGCGGCTGGTTGCTTCAAAATCGGCTGCGACCGATTTGGAGTGTCGATCGGTCGCTACCGATCGCGGCCGTTGAAAACCGGTATCCAATGATCTGGGATAGAGGATCACCACCTTCTCGTGGAAGCCCAGGGTCCGGTGGATGGAGGATTGAGGACCAAGTAGGTTGTGGGCGCTTTGGGCCATTTTTGGAGGTCCTTGGGGTCCGTGTCCTGGAAGCGGTGGCGACGCGGCCCCCATACAGTCAAAGCGCATAGTAAGGACGAGCAATGCTTCAAGGTTGCCCTTGCATCCCTGCCCCTTCGGCCCATCCTTGGCAGACGTCGCTGACCGACCCCGTTCGGAAAACGTCAACATGGCCTTCCAAGGCCCCTGCATCCTTACTGCGCATCCTCATTATTCGTTTTTTACTGTAGTAGCGAGCCTCCCTTGGAAATGCCTGGGAGGTGCACGTACGTGGACGTGCCGCAGGCGCGCGAGACTCTGGCCGTGGTCCTGTCGAAGCCTCGCTGGCTCTGGGGCTGCGAGATGGGCGCCAACGAGCGCGGGGTCGTGGGCGGCAACGAGGCCCGAAGTCAGAGGAGGAACCCGACACCTCGTCGTTGCGGCTGGGTTCTTTTCGAGATCCTGGTCAGGACGCACCCTGGGAGAGGTCTGGGGAGTAGCGGTATCGGAAGCTTTGCCCCCCCCCCCCCCCACGATGATACAAATTCTCAGAATCGGGGCTGGACCCCTCCTGGCGGAGCCGCTGGCGCGCTCCGCGCGCCAGGGAATGGGTCCAGCGCAAGCCCAAGAAATCCGCGCGGACCTCCGACAGTTTACGGTCAGGAACGTTGGCTTAGCGTGTTGCTCCGCCGGTTCTGGCCCACCACGCTTCGGCTCGACACGCTCACGCTTCCACGTCTCGAGCCTTGCCCAACCTTCCGCGCCGCGGAGGGGAGCGACACTCTATCAGCTCGCAGGGCATGCGTGTCCCCGGGGCCGCCGCCGCGACACGCGAAGTACAAGTTCCTGACCGTATGTCTGCTGAGGTCACCGCGGGGCTGCTTAGGAGATAGGGAGGTTAGAAGTGGATGCTTCGGTGTGGCATATCTGGCCGAACCTAGCTGCAAGTGCCCTGATTGAGTTTGGGTAATTAGCTAACTCCGCGAAGTGGGCTCCGCCCACTTCGACCAGATCCGCACCCCCCCGTCAACGACTTGTGGCATTTGTAGCCTATTTACAAGCCAGGTTCGGCCATCTATAGCCTACCGTTGCACCCACTTCGAAATCCTCTATCCCCGGAGCGCCCCCCGCGGTCATCCAAGTATCTTCGCTCTTTCCAAACGAGGCCGTTTGGACCCGCCCAGGAGGGCCACCCTCCAGGGAGGAAGTCCACGATTCCTCTCCGAGCTGGGCAGAAGGCGAGAGGGACCAAGCGAGAGAGAGGGAGACCACACCACCAAACGGACCCTCCCTGGCGCCTCGCGCCCGGCGGTGGTGTCCCCTTCTCTCGCTCCTGGAGAATAGGTCTCTGTCTTCCCCTTGGCCGCTCAGGTCACCCTCCACCCACTCACAAGCTGTGCAAGGCCAGCCACACCCCACCGTCGCATCCACTTCTGGGCCCTCTGCAATCGACCCGTATGATAGGGATGTGCGGTAAGCATGCAAGGGCCGTGGGGAAGGCCATGCCGGCATTTTCGAACAGGGCTGGCCAGCGAAAGTCGCCAAGGAGGGGCCGAAGGGGCAAATATGCAGGGGCAACCTGGGAAAGCTGCTCATCCTTACCATGCGCGTTGACTGTATCCCCTAGGCGAAACCCCGGCGGTGATCCATTATTAGGAGGAGGAGGAGGAGGAGGAGGAGGAGGAGGAGGAGGCGGAGGAGGAGGAGGAGGAGAGGAGGAGGAGGAGGAGGAGGGGGAGGGGGAGAATGAGGAGGAGGGAGCGGAGGAGCAGGATGAGGAGGAGGAGGCGGAGGACGAGGAGGAGGAGGCGGAGGAGGAGGAGGATGAGGAGGAGGACGAGGAGGAGGAGGAGGCGGAGGACGAGGAGGAGGAGGATGAGGCGGAGGAGGACGAGGAGAAGGAGGAGTGCTCCCTCCAGACGAGGCCGTGTGGACCCGCGCGGCTGGAGAGCTCGGCGGCGAGGCCCGGCTCCTCGGCATGGACCTGCTCCGCCTCGCGCTGGAGCGCGGCGCGACCGCCGCCGGGGCGGCGCGGGCGTGCACAGACCTCCTGGAGGCCCACGGGCAGGCCGGCACGAGCGGAGTGTGTATCCCAACAGAGGGCACATCCCCGAGATCCTGGCGACTCACTTTGTTCGAGCTGGGCGTTGTCGCTCCATTTCGGGCCCCGGGACCCTCACAGATCGATCCGGCCCGGAAACTGACGCAGAGAGATGGGGTCCCGGGGTCTGGTCGTGATTTTGTGCGATGTTGTAATTTTCTGGCAACGTCGGATCTCAGGGAACGGCACTCTGGGTTTCTTCATAAGCGTGAGGGGGTACCCCCTCCGACGGGTGTCAACCTCGCCTCGTCGTCGCGCCGCGACGGAGGGTCGGAGCGCCTTCGGCGCGCAGTGGCTGCCCGCGACGGGGGTCGACGTGGGGCTGTCGGCGGGGGTGACGCCCCCCCGACGCTTATCTCATTAAGAAGCTCGGGGTGCTGAAACAATGGGTACAACGTCCAACTGCAGTTCTCGTGCATGCCAAGCAGGTTTTGTATGTAGCGAGGCCGCGGTCTTTGTGTCCAGTCGAGACAGGAGAGGCCGCCTGCCCAGCAGCGGCCGCTGGCGGTTCTGGACAGCATTCGTTGTTGGGCATCGTGCCCATTGTTGTCCGTACCCGTTTTCGGTCGTCCAGAGCAGGGGGGCGGCTGCGCAGAGGACGGCGGCGAGCCCAGGGGGGAAGTGAGAAGGGGGCCACGATAGGGAGGATATTCTGAGGGGGGACGCGCCGATCCCCAATCGCCCATTGATCGCCGATACAGGCCCGATAGTCCACCCCGCCCAGGAACGTGAGGTTTGACAATCGGGGGCGCAGATCGATCGGCGATGTATAGCCGATCCTAGGTCGATGTTTCCCCCCATGTGCCAGGCCCTCCTTATCGTTGCCCCTAAGGGAAGTGGAACGGTGCAGGCCTTCTTCGAAAGCGGCGGGGCTTCTCAGAGGCCCTTGCGCCTTTGAAGGGCCGTCTGGCTTTGGAGAAGGCGGAAAAGGCTTCTCAGAAGGCGCAACGGCTTCTGCCCCGCCGCCTTCTGAGAAGGCGCGCCCCATCTCACTTCCCCCTGGGCTCGCCGCCGATGAGGACGACGACGGGTGGACCTACGAGAACGGCTTCATCTCGCGGACCAAAAAGATGACATGAATATAAACTTTCGGAGGTCCGCGCTGATTTCGTGGATCGGCGCTGGAGCCCCCCTTCTTGCTGGAGCCCCCCTTCTTGGCGCGCGGAACGCGCAAAGAGCGGCACCCAGAGGCGCCACCAGGAAGGAGACCGCCAGCGCCCATCCAAGAAATCCGCTCGGATCTCCAACAGTTTATGTTCGTGCTTTCTTTTGTTCCTCGATCATCTTCGCGGACGCGTCCGAGGCCTTCGTCGTGGAGACGGCCGGCGTCTCCTGGTGGGCCGTGGAACGGGTCCCGCTTGGCTCGTTCCGCAACATCTCCAACGGGATCTCGATCCGGAGCGAGCACCACGCGCTGCACCCCGGGCTCAAGCAGCACTGCAGGGAGCGTGGCTGGTGGGACGGCACTGGGCAAGCGAAGAGATACTTAGGAGCGAAGAACATATCCCTATCCGCGGCCTCGCGGGCCGGGCCCTTGGGCCCGCGGATACGGGGCGTTTTTTCGCGGATGCCCCGCGCGGAACGCATCCGTGCGACAGCGTACCCGCGGGATCGTGATCCAGAGTCCAGACCGCGAGGGCGCGGATACGGATCGCCGCTTGTGAGATACATCGACACCTCGACAGTGCTGTGGGAAGTCTTGCTTGTCAGCAATCTTGGGGCACATTCTTCGACGGTTCCGGAGTTTCCTGCAGTGCCCCAGAGCCTTGCGGGTCCCTCCATCAGGGGACAACACATTTCCGTGGGGCACCTGCTGGCAGGCTGGTCTCTCTTCTGATGCACCCGTGCTCCCAGGACCTCTCCCCGGGGCGCGTTCTGACCAGGACTCCGCTGCGAGTCCAGCCGTGGCGACGAGGGCATCGCGCGAACGGGCAGCGGCAGCTCGAGTACGAACAAAACGGCATGAAGATAAACTTCCGCAGAGCTCCGCGCGGATTTCTTGGATCCGCGCGAGGCGCCGCCACGGGGGCCCGGCGCCGATCCAAGACATCTGCGAGCCCCGAATCATGCCCATGCTGTTTTCTGTCCCTGTTAGCGGTGCCTCTTCCTCCCCGTGAGGCACGTTGGGTAGCAAATCATGGGAGTTTTGCGTGTCCTCGTAATTCGGGCTTTCGAGCGCATTGGCGTGCGCTAGCGCCTGGCAATCGGTGAGAAGGCGCCGATGTTGCGTCGATGTACCGCCGATTAGCGTTGATTGGCGTCGACCGGCGTCGGTCAGCGTCGATATCGCATGGGCCAGCAAGATGGCATGTGAGGCTCCCATGAGTTGCCACCTCACCACCTACCAAACCACCCCACCCCAAGCCGAAGGCCCAAATTTACCCTGGGGGGGGAGGGGAACATTGAAACAACACATCTGAAACCCGTACCGTCCGCCCAACCCGAAACGTGGGTCTTCGAGTTAGGTTGGGGTGGTCTGGTAGGCAGCTAGTCACCATCGAAGGCACGGAGCCGTTCGACTTCAAGGCGGTCCTGACGGGCACCTCCTCCACGGCACAGCTGGCGCCCGCCGGCCGGGAGCGCTGCGGCCGCGAGCTGCTGGGCGACCTCGCGCGCGACGCGGCCGCTGGGCGCGTCGCTTCGCCCGAGGCGCTGGCCCGCCGCATGATGGCCGTGCTCCGGGACGAGCCCTCGGGGATCTGCTTCCGGGACCTGCACTCGTTCAGCTCCACCGGCAGCCAGGTTCCCCCGAGACCTAGATGCTCGTTCGGGGGGCCTTCCTGGGGCCCACGCAACGGATCTGTTCGACTCTAGGTCGACCCCAGCTTGACTCAAGTTCGACTCAAGCTCGACTCAAATTCGACTCAGGTTCGACTCAGGTTCGACCCAGGGTCGACTCAAGTCGACGGCCGCTCGGCGCAGCTTCCGGGCAGGTCCCCAGAATGAGCCTCCAGTGAGACCCTGGCGTCGCACCATTTTTTCCGCCAAGGGGGCGCGTTCGCCCGCTTCTCTGGGCCCCGGGGCCCTCACAGGTCGGTCCGGCTCGCAGAGTTCGGGGGCGGCAAAGAGGGGGGTGATGACTGGGGAGTTATCATGGCGTGGGCCATGATATTTCCCCAGATTTCACGGTGCCTTTTTTTATTTCATTACGCCCTGGGCCCCCCCCCATGGGCCGCGCACATGCCGCCGGCCATGATTTGCACCCCCCCCTCTTGGACGCCCCCCTCTTGGCCGCCCCCGAAGAGTGGCGCAGGGAGACCGGGGCCGGGGCTCCGGAGGTGATTTTTGGATGTTGCAGGTTTTTGTTCCAGCCTCTGATCTCTGAGTGCGTGCGGGGCGGCCGCTCGCCCCGGAGTGGCCTCCTCTGGTAGAACCAATCGGGCGGGTGGTAAAAGGTGGTCGCCTAAATTGGGGGCGGGGGGGGGGCGAAGAGCCCTAAGCCCTAAGGGGGCGACTAGCCCTAAGGGGGCCCTTTGGGGCCCCTGCGGGCCCCCCCAAATGGGGCCCTCACAGGGGGCCTTTTTGGTGTTCTGTTCTTCACCCCCACTTGGGTCACCGCCCATCACGACCAGCCCGACAGACGCATGAGGGAAGGGGTGCTGTGGAGCTGGCTGCATGCAGCTGGCTTCGGTGCCCCCCGCCGCCCGGCGCGCTCCTCGAATGCACAGTGGCGCCAGAAGGCGCCAGAAGGCGCCAGGAAGACCAGCCACGCGAGCTGATTCGCAGCAGCCCGCCCTGTTTGCCATATCCCCCCCAGTCGAACCGTATCATCATACTCTTCCTCCTCCTCCTCCTCCTCCTCCTCCTCCTCCTCCTTTTTCTCCTTCTCGGTCTCCTCCTCCTCCTCCTCCTCCTCCTCCTCCTCCTCCTCCTCCTCCTCCTCCTCCTCGTCCTCCTCCTCCTTTTCGTCCGTCTCGACGCTGACCTGCGTGCCCCTGGCCACTTGGCCCCCCCCCCCCTGCGGCCCCCTCGGCCCCCCCCCCCCCCCCCCCCCAGAACGGGGTGGTGACCACGCCGTGTATCGGGGCTGGACAGAACCCCCACCCTGACACGTCGATTAGTGAATTGTCCGTTTTCGGTTCTCGAGAGGGCGCCGCGGCCGTCATTTTCCAGGCTTACGCCCTCCAGGTTTGGGCCCCAGGTCGTTGTCACTAAACTACGTTTTGCTAAAGGGGGTTCTGTCCATCCCCGAGTGTAGCGAGTCGGTGGAGCTTTTCGGGGCCACCGCACGGCTTTGGGACTCGGGTCGTTCTCCGAGGATGCCTCGGGCGGCTCTAGGGGAACGACAATCAGCGCTGGAGCACCCTCCATAGCGCGCGGAGCGCGCCAGGGGCGGCGCCGGAGGCGCCGCCAGGGGGTCCCAGCGCCGATCCGAGAAATCCGCGCGGACCTCCAAGTTTTTGCGTTCATGTCGTTGTTCGTTCCCCTAGATCCAGGGTCACCGCACGGTTATAGGACTTAGGTCGTTCAAAGGATGTCTCGGGCGATTGGGGCCTCCAGGGTCCCAAAACCGTGTGGTGACGTACCCTGCGGTGAGGTCTCTGCGGATTTCGAGGTCACCGTTGGGTCTGTCACCACACTCGGGCCGGACGAACGGGGGGCATAGGTGACACGGTTTTGGGGCCCCGAATCCCAGGCATCCTTCGTCGTGATTTTTGTCGCACCGCGGCTCCCCAGAGGTCTGAACCCCTTCCCAGGGGCTGGCTTTTCATCCTCAGTCATTCTTAGACGGTCCTGGCAGAAAACCTCCGTCGTGAGTTTCCACACCGAGAGGGTGTCAGGATCCCCCAACCCTGATCATTGGATGCCCGATTTCTTGGGTCGTGACCGACGAGGTCGGTCGCTACTGATTTTGCTGCAACTGTTGGTGTCGGTCGCGACCGATTTGCGTCAAAATCGGTTGCGATCCATCGGTCGCGTCGATCGTTCGCGACTGGTCGCGACCGATTTGCAGTGCCGATCGGTCGCTACCGCTCGCGACCGACAAAATCCAGTACCCAATGCTCCAGCAATCCACCGCCTGGGGAACCGACGTCCTGGGACCCCAGCGGGCGGCGAACATCGATACAGTCGAGCATCCGGTTAAGAATCCTCCTCCCGAAAAGCTGGGCCAGCGTTTATCAACCAACTTGCTGGCAAGCTGGCCCCGTTTCCAGCACGTTCGCTCCTCCAGCGCTAACGACAGAAGTTGGCCCAGGTCTGCTCCAGGAAACCGCAGGGAAGCTGGCCCAGATGTCTTAAGCGATTGTTTTCTTGATCATACTCTCAGCTGCAGACTCCTTTCCCTTCAACCCTCCTCGTCCGATCCTCGAGGATCGAGGCTTTGTCTTTGTCGAGGGCCTCTTTGTTCCGGGAGCGCCGCGCGCCAGCTGGTCCACTCTTCGCCCCTAGAGGGCCGTTCCTTGCGTCCCGCCGGCAGGTGTCGGTGCTGCCCCGCGCCACGGGCGAGGGGGGCAGCAGCGGGGAGCCCAGCGCCCACGGCGCTGGGCAGCACTTCTCGGCGACTGCAAAGGGTGTTGTTAAGGTGTTGAGCGTGGGGACTTGTACGTTTTGACCCCCCCCCTCGTCGCGGCGGTGAATGGGGTTGGTCCTAAAACCTCCTCGTCGCGGCGGAGATTGTGTTTCCTCTATTGTTGGGCGGGCTAGATAATGTTGGGTTTATTTCTCCCAGGGAATCATGCCCCCTAGGCTACCCTGCACTAACCCTGCTAAGGAGGAAGAGGAGGAAGAGGAGGAGGAGGAGGAAGGAGGAGGAGGACGGATGAAGCTTTCAGGATAAAGCTTCTGAGGACCAAGATTTTAAACCAAGAGTTTCCATGAAAGCGCTCTGAGGCTTACGCAATGACTAACTAGTTGTCGTCGAAATCGCAGTTGCAATTGTAGTCGTAGCTGGTGGCGGGTGCCGCAGGGAAAAACAGTTAGTTACCCCGAGTGGTGGAACACCAATCCGTGAGAAATGCCGCAGAAAACAAATCAATAAGTAATTACACCTTATTGGGGGGGTTCTAAAGACCTCTCGCAGTTACGCCGTCCCTGAGATCCTGGCGACTCAGTTTTCTCGAGCCTGGCATTTTCGCTTAATTTCAGGGTTTCGGACCTGCACAGATCGATCCGGCTCGAAACATGACGCAGAAAGATGGAGTCCGTTGTGATTTGTGTAGGTTTTACCCTGTTCTGCGACGTCGGATCTCAGGGAAGCGTGTGGTTACGCCGTGGTGTGGTTAGCGATCTGCGTCGGTTGGGGCTTGGGGGCCACCACGCTGCCCTCGTCGAGCCTCGCACTGGCGCGGCGGAGAACTCTGCCGAGGTCCTCGCCCGACCGACCCCCAGGGTGCGGATTGCAAGCCGCACCCTCTGCAAACGACACCCTTCGGAGTCACCGAACTTCTTCACGTGCGCGAGCGACCCCACGCGCACGGCGTACAAGCGCTTCGGCTTCTCGGGGCCAGAGCAGGCGGCGAAGCTCAGAGGAGGGAAGGTGCCGATACCGCCACTTGTGCTTCGTTGATCGCCTTCGTGGGCCTCCTGTGAAACGCACCCCGGGGGAAATCCGGGGAGTAGCGGTATCCGGATCTTGCGGCTTCCCCAGAAGCAGGGAAAACGTTATATGGTTCACTAAGGTTGCAAAGGCCCCTGCAGATTTCTCGGATCTGCGCCGGGGGTCCCTATGGCGGCGGCGGCTCCTCTGGCGCCGCCCCTTTGCGTGCGGTCCAGCGTGTATCCGAGAAATCCGCGTGAACCTCCGAGAGTTTATGCTGGTGCAGTTTTCTTATAGTCGTGACCTTTTTTACTTATGTGTATTTCTACCTCCTACATCACGCAGCTTATACCACACTGTTGCACCATATAGCTCACACACCAGCAGTGTTATAACTTAGGGTCGTTTTCCGTCAATTTCTGGCCCGGGGACTCTCGCAGATCGATCGGGCTCGAAAAATGACGCAGAAAGATGGGGTCCAGAGGACCTGTCGTGATTTTCTGCGATGTTGCACCTTTTGCCACGTCGGCTTCTCAGGGCCACCTCCCTCCAGACTCGCCGCCGACAGGCGGACGTCGGCCCGCTGAGCCTGGAGCTGTGGCGGCAGCACCGCCGGCGCGCCCTCGCGGGGGCGGCGCCGCCCGCGGGCGTGGCCGCGCTGGAGGCGAGGCCCCTCGGCGCGAGCCCGGCGGCGGGCAGCGGCGGCGGACGGCCCCGGGGGGGGCGTATACGGGAAGCGAAGGGAGGCACGAAGGTCGGGGCTCAGGAGACGGGGTCGGTGCAAGCAGGGGTCGGTCAGAGCGTCGGATCTCGCAGGAGCCCGCAGGGCCAGGGTCGCATGGACCCGGGCTTGGGTGCAGGGTCCAGCAGGGTGCTGCAGGATCTTGGAGGATCCTGCAGAGCCCGACTTACCCGGCTCTGGATTGACCCGGGTCAGTAGATCCCCGAGAAGGCGAAAAGGAAAGAGCGCGGGGGGGGGGAAGATCGGCGGCGAGCGAAGGGGGGAACAGTTCGAGGTTCGAGGTTTGCGGGCGGCTTCGTGGTCTCTTGCCGGTGTTGCGGCCTCGGGATGCGCTCCAGCGCGCCTCGCCGAAAGCGTTCCGGGGGTGCCCGGATCGTCCCGAACGCCCGCCAGAGATCGAGCGCGAGGGGGAAAGATCGGCGGCGAGCGAAGGGGGGAATGCGTCAGCGCCGTGGGCGGACGGCCCCACGGGGGCAGTACGGCTTGCATGCCTGCTTCAGGAGGAGCGGTCCCTCATCGAGCGGGTGGCAAGGGGGGCTGACCTACATGGGGGGCGATGAAAAGGAGGGGTCCTCTTGGGCCCCTTTTGAGCCCCTGCTGGCCCCCAAAGGGGCCGACGATGTGTTTTCAATCAGGTGGAAGCGCTGCGGTCGGCGTTTCCGGTGAACGCGCCAGTCTCGACCACATCTGGCGCCCCATAGGGGCCCCGACCCCCGTAATTATTCCCCGCTCGATATCCCGCCCCTGCGAACAGCCCCGACGGCGAGAACGCATTCAGGAGGGAAAAACACACACAGACACAGAGAATCGCCGATCCCCGTGAAAATGCGTAGATCATGCATGAAGTGGAGGGGGAAGGCGAACGTCCAGGAGACATGGGAAATATGGAGAATCGTGGGGCTCGTGTCAATCTACTTGCGTGTCCCTGGGCCCATGCGTGCCCGCGCGCCTGCAGTGCTCCCGCCCCCTTGGGCCCTCCGCTCCCGCTGCGGCCGCCGGCGAGCGGGGAGCCGGGGCCAGCCCTCGGGCGCCTGATCGAGGATGAGCTGTCGCTGCTGCAGTGACCGGCGGGCATCCCGCGGGCCGCAGGGCCCTGCTCAGGGGCGTCCAAAAGGGGGGTCAATCATCCTAATCATGATGATCTGACGAATCACGAGAGTAACGATGCGAATGATTGCTAGACTCGTACAAACATACTTACGTGCATACATGCAAACAAGCATACATACATATACACATATACAAACATACATTCGTTCATTCATTCATTCATTCATTCATTCATACCTACATACATACACACACATACATACGTGCGTGCATGCATGCATGCAAACATACACTCGTGCATATATTCAGTCACGCGTACATGCATACATGCATACATGCATCCACACATACAGACAACCATACATACATACATGCATGCATACATACATGCATGCATGCATACATGCATACGTGCACACACATACATACATGAATGCATACATACATACATGCATGCCCATATATTTACACATACATGTACATATACATATACGCACACGTATACACATGCATATGCGTATACGTAGAAACATATACACATACATACGCATACATCTATAGATGTGTATGCATATGCATACTCATAAACCTAAACATGTACACGTGCATATGCATATACTTATATGTACATGTGCACATGGCGATTTCCTCATACACATACATACATACATACATATATATATATATATATATATACACATCCATATACGTCTGCACATACACACGCTTAGGCATCATCACATGCATATACATATACAAATACATGTACATATACGTGTGCATATACGTATGCATGTACATCGGAATCTACATATACATTTACATACAGATCGTAGAGAACCGTTATAAGAAAATAACTTGCGGAGTTCCGCGCGGAGTTCTTGGATCTGCGACGGGCCCCCCTGGCGCCGCCTCCTGCGCCGCCCCTGGCACGCTCCGCGCGCCAGGGAGGGGGGCTCAGCGCGGATCTGAGAAATCCGCGCGGACCTCCAAAAGTTTGTGCTTTGTCGCTTTTTGTTCTTCTAATATCTTCTAATATAAGTGTGTGGGTATCATGTCCCGGGCCATGATATCTCTCGCGATTTCGTGTCCCCCACATTCTTCCTTTAGTACCTTCTCTGGCCCCCACTCCTCTGCGCACGTGCCTCGGGTCCTGGTGCGCCCCCCCCCCCTCTGCTCCCCCTTCGGCACACCCATATGTCGCCCCGATCGCCCTGGTATCGGTGTCGATTGTGGCCGGCTCGATCTGGCCCGACCTCGACCTCCCGTCCGTCCAATGCTCGTGTCGGACGAGGCGTGAGTGTGGAGAAGAGGGTGGGCGGGGGGCGAAATCTGCGGCGTTCGGCCCCGCAGGCGCCTTTCCTAGACACGTTAACGCCTTCCAGCGCCGGGAGGCGAGGGCATAGTTCAGCGATTCGCTGACCCCCTTTTCGCTCACCTGCCCGATCGTCCGACCCGAGATGTGGCCTGATGCCTGCATGGCGCTGTTGTGCATCCCGGCGCAGTCGACCCGACTCGAATTCGGTTCCGTGCCGACGCGGCCCGACTCGAGGCACGTTCTGGATCCGACCTGGCTCATCGATTCGGTGCTGACCGCCCCTGCCACGTGCCCCGCAGCGCCCCGGCGACTCTGGCCTCCCTGCGCTGCAATGCATCCGACGAGGAGGTCTCGGGTCTCCAGCTGTCGCGCGATGTGCTCGTTGTCACCGACGAAGAAAACGTGGCATAGACTCACACCGTCGGAGCTCCGCGCGACCTTCTTGGATCGGCGCTCGGGCCCCCATGGCGGTGCCTCTGGCGCCGCTCCCGCGCGCCAGGGAGGGGGGGCCCAGCGCCGATCCAAGAAATCCGCGCGGAGCTCCGAAAGTTTATGTTTGTGCGGTTCTTCTTTCCTCTAAGGGAGGCCTCCGGCTGCCGCCCGGCGTGCCAGTTGTCGGCGTGGCGCCTGGCCGGGTCGGCCGTGCTGCCCAGACGCCACGCTGGTGATGGCTCGCATGTCATTGGCCTTCCGTGCTTCGTTTCACGAGTTGTGTTGTTGTGGAGACCTCCCCATCGGCCGGGCGAGGTGCCGCTCCGCTGTGCTCTCGGGCGAAGGGGGCGGCGCCGATGGGCTTCGGCCTTGCCCCGTGCTGTCGCCAGCTGGCTCGCGCTGGGCCTACGAATCCGCCGCCTCGTGGCAGTGCCCGTGCTCATGGTCGCGACAACCTCCTCCTCCTCGTCCTCCTCCTCCTCCTCCTCCTCATCCTCCTCGTCCTCCTCGTCCTCCTCCTCCTCGTCCTCTTCCTTCTCCTCCTCCTCCTCCTCCTCCTTCTCCTTCTCCTCCTCCCCAAGTACCTTCGACGGGGAGGTCGGGCGGGAGAAGCAGGGCCTCTGGAGCCGCGCAAAAATCGCCAGCGGCGACAAATCTGACCTTGGGATGGGGTCTCGTGCTCTGGGGCCCACGTCGTGAGAAAATCACGACTGGAGGCTTGAGATCTTTCATAGCATGTTTTCGTCGTCGTCGTCGTCGCCGTTCTCTTCCACCTCTGCCTGTTCGATCTCCTCCTTTTCCTGATCTTCCTTGCTTCTTCTTTTCGCCAGATTTCCCTGCTTGCCATGCCATGTCCCGCACCCTTCATTCTCCCCCCCTGGGGAAGGCAACGGCTATTACGCGCACTTAGTGCTGAGCGCGATCGTCGTGGTGGCGTGCTTCTTAGTGGCGCTGATGTTTACGAGTCGCGTGGCTATCGGCACTGCGTCGCTGCTTGCTTGGTACTCGGAGCCCTTCGGGGCCTTTTCGATTTCCAGAGGGCTTCCAGGGCACCCTGCCTATCAGCACTCTGCTCTGGATCAACTTTTTTCCGCGTGCTCGCCGTACGGACAGGCATATTGCAGGGAAAATGCCAAAGCCACGCCTTCGCGGCGCGGGGCATATTGCTCCTCCTGGCAACTGTGATGTCGGGCGGCCCCGTGTCGCAGCGGCTGACAGAGAGCAGTAGTAGGAGGAGCAAGAGGAGCAGAAGGAGCAGGAGGAGGAGGAGGAGGAGGAGGAGGAGAAGGAGGAGGAGGAGGAGGAGTGGGAGGATTGGGAGGATTGGGAGGACGGTGAGGCGGGGGCGAAAGAAGAGACACCTGGAGAGAGAGAGAGAGAGAGAGAGAGAGAGCGAGAGAGAGGGAGAGAGACAGAGAAAGGGAAGCGAGAAAAGAGACACCCGGTGCAGAGGGGTGGGGGAGAGAAGGAACATGCATGGCCTGGCACGCGACGCCGTCGTCTGGAGGCGGGCGCTCCGGGGCTCCTCCGCCGCGGCCCGCTCCAGGACGGCCCCCGGACCTGCCCCTGGGGCTGCCGGGGCGCCGAGGCGCCGCGGCGGCGTCCCCAACAGGTCCCCCACGACCACGACGACCAGGACGACCACGACGACGACGACGACGATGACGACGACGACGACGACCACGACGATGATGACCACGACCACGTCCACGACCACGGCCACGACCATGACGACAGGTCCCCGACGACGACGACGATGACGACCGCCACCACCACCACCACCACCACGACCACGACCACGACCACGACCACGACCACAAAGACGACGACAGGTCCCTGACGACGGCGACGACGACTCGACGACGACGATGACGACGACGGCGATGACGACGACGGCGATGCCTGGAGGCCCGGGCGGGCCCGCGCAGGAACAGCTCGGGGCTCAAGATGCCGGGGTCAAGGCAAACGGGGTCAATCATTATATGCTCGTTTTGGGGGACCTTTCTGGGGCCCTATACCTGTTCGACTCCAGTTCGACCCCAGTTCGACTCAAGTTCGACTCAGGTTCAAATCAGGTTCGACTCATGGTCGGTTCAAATCGACGAACCTTCGACGCAGCTTCGACGCACAAGTGGAGTGAGTGCTTCCGGGAAGGCCCCCAGGATGCGCATCCAACCATCAGAGCGCCGGACTTTGCAGGAGCCTGCAGAGCCAGGTGCGCACTGACCCGGGGTTGGGGGGTGCAGGATCTTGAAGGATTCTGCAGGATCTTACAGGACCCTGCTTGGCGGCGCGCAGAGGGGGGCAGGGGGAGGGGGGAAGGCTTCTTAGAATCACCCGTGCTTCTTAGAAGGTGCGGGCCTTCTCTGTAGATGTAAGGCCAGCGCCTTCTAAGAAGCAGCCTTCTTCTAAGAAGCCTTCCCCCCTCCCCCTACCCCCTTCTGCTCGCCGCCAACCTGCAGAGCTCGACCGACCCGGGTTTGCATCGACCTGGGTCGCAGTGGATCCCCGAGAACAACACCGTGCAGGCGCGCCACGGGCCCAGAGGTCAGACGAGGAGAGGGTACCGATGCTGCTGCTCGCCCTGGAGAGCCCTCCTCGTCACGACCGGGTATGTCACCACCCACCAAACCACCCCAACCCAACCCGAAGGCCTCAATTTGCCCTCCATTTCCAGTGGGGGGGGGTCGGGGAACATTGAGAAAACACAAATGGAATCCGTACCCCCCCAACCCGAAATTCGGGTCTCCGGGTTGGGTTGGGGTGGTCTGGTAGGTAGTCAGTATGCGCCCCGACGTTCCGGTCCGCCCCGCACCCCAAGGGAGGTCCAGGGAGCAGCGGGGTGCCAGCGTGTTGCCGCCCCCCGCCAAGAGATCCACTGGTCTTTCCTGCTTCATGGTGGGGCCACCGGCAGCCCCGACCCTTTCCCCAGGAGCGTTTTCCCCTCCCACGCTGTGCTTCTGCAGAGGCCGAACGCGGCGACAGACCCTCGCCTTGATTCTTCGCATGACCCATATAATTGGATACGTACTTGATGAGTTGCTGTCGCGATCGATAGCGACCGATCGGCACTCCAAATCGGTCGCGACCGATCGCAGCCGATTCCAAAACCGGTCGCGGCCAGTCGCGACCGATTGCGACCGATTTGAATCAAATCGGTCGCGACCGATCGCAGAATTTGGAGCAAACGCGATGGCGTCCCATCTCGTCGGTCGCGATCAGGAAATTCCTGCATCCTGTGAGCAGGGTTCGTCTTCCAGTGCCTCCGCTCCTCTTTCTGCTCCTCTTGGTCCTGCTCACGCGCAGGAGGGGCTTCCTGTGCACCGCTTCCTTGGCGTTCGGGTCGATACCGACGAAGCGAGCGAGCCTTCAGGCGAATTTGTTTTTCAAGGAGAACGATCAGGAGGGGAAACAGCACACAGACACAATTCATCGCCGGTCCCCAGGAAAATATGGGAAAATATGGGAAGTGAGTGGGAAGACGAAAATCCAGACAATACGGAAAAACATGGGGCATCCTTGAATTTGTGTCAATTTATTTGTGTGTCCCTGGGCCCCTTCAAAAGATCAGGGCCCGTGATTCTTTCCAGGGCCCGGCGGCGAGCCCACTGGGGGGAAGCGAGAGCGGGCGGGCCTTCTCAGAAGGCGGCGGGGCTCTTCAGAAGCCCTCGTGCCTTTGGGCAAGTTTTCCGTGTCTTCTTTGGAAGGCTTACGACACTTCTCAGAAGGTCGGGGGTGGACAGACCTCCCACCCTGACACGTCGATTAGTGAATTGTCCGTTTTCGGTTCTCGAGAGGGCGCCGCGGCCGTCATTTTCCAGGCTTGCCCCCGCCAGGCTTGGGCCCGAAACCACGTTTTACTAAAGGGGGCTCTGTCCATCCCCGAGAAGGCCCGAGGCCTTCCGAGCCTTCTGAGACGGTCCGCCCCCTCTGCCTGCCCCCCGGGGGGCTCGCCGTCGAATTCGGTTTTCGGGTCCTAACGCGGGCCTCCAGCGGCCGCTCGGGACGACCCGGGCGCCCCCAGAACTCTCACGGCGAGGCGCAGCTGCCAGACAGCATCCCGAGGCTGGAAGACCGCCGAGAACCGACGAAAACGTCCAAAGACCTCGACGCTCGAAGCTCGAACCCTCTATGTTCCTCTCTGGCATCGCGGGCTCGCCGCCGAAAGACGACGGGATGTCTGGCGAGCGGCGGCGAAAGGCACACATGGCAGCGTGCGGCCCCGCAGGGAGAGTCGCGATCCCGGACTCGTCCGCGCGCGGCCGCCGGGCGCGCCGGCGGGGCGGGTGCGCGCCGAGGCGAGTGGTGCGCCAACAACAAGGTGCCCGCGCCGGTCCCCTGAGATCCGGGCGATGCCACTCTTCTCCTCACCAGGCGTATTTCCGCCCGGTGTCAGGCCCCGGGAGCCCCACAGATCGGTGCGGCTCGAAGAGTGGCGCAGGAAGACCCGGAGTCCGGGGCTCTGGCCTCGATTTGTCACCACGTCCCACCTTTTTCGCAACGTCGGATCTCAGGGTCCGCCACTCTCTCTTTGGGTGGTGCTCCTCCTGCGATCTGTGTTCTCCATCGGGCGCGGGGGCGGCCCCCCCCTGCCGCGGCGGAGTGCGGACTGCTCGACCAAGGAGAGTCGACCGCCTTGCGCAGGGACTCCAAGAAGCCTCGAGAGCCCCCCCCGATTAAAAAAAGAAGAAAAAAAATCGGGCGCGGGGGCGGCCGTTCTCTTCGGCGTGGGCCGAGATCTCAGGCGCCGTGCTCTGTCTCATCGTTGCGCTCTTCCTCGATGTTTTCGGCCTCTGGGGCCCGTCGGCGGGCCCCTGGGCCTTCAAGAAGTAAGTTTGATTCAAAAGTGAGTCCAGGGCGAAAGATGCCCCATTGGAAGGGGTCGACACCTGAGGGTGGCCACGTTGTAAAAACACAGCTGGCGCCGCGTCTGTCTGATTCCTTGTGTTTTTCCTTCCTCCATCTGTCTGTCTGTCTGTCCGTTTGTCTGCCTGTCTGTCTGTCTGTGTCTCTGTCCGGCTGCATGTCTGTCTCACTGTATATATGTATATATATACACATATATGTATATGTGTGTGTGCGCGCATCTCTACTGCCGAGCTCTAGACTATTCCATATCGACGCAGAACCCCACACATGCTCCAGCTCTCTTGACCTGCCTGTGCCTGGGCGGATCGGATCCCGATCTTGTTGGATATGCCAGGCAGGCTTGGCGTGCGCCGACCGCCGCTGCAAGGAGTTGGCCGTCGTTGATTTGGTTTTCCTTCCGTACGGTCAACGGGGTCTCCGGTGGTATACTTGGTTACCTGCAAAGTGTAAGAGTGGGTTTGCGCAGGCCGCATGCGTGTGGTTTGTGTGCCCATACGCGCATGGCGCCCGCGGGCACCACACCAGCGCTGTCGCAGTCGCCGCCGCTAACTCGGCTGGCAATCATCTGGCTCAAACGCCCACAGGTGCCGATCGTGCCCCACGTTCGGCCCCACCCCCCACGCGCGGCGGCCCATGCGCAGCTCATGAGATCATGCCATCCTTCATCTTAGAGCACGGCCTGACTCCGAAGGCCGGTGGCGTGCCCAGGGAACTGAAGCGAGAAAGGCGGCAGGCCTTCTCGGAGGGCGGCGGGGCTTCTCCGGAGCCCTCCAGACTTCCAGGAAGCCGCCTCTGTCTTCGGAAAAGGGCTTCGGACGACTTGTCAGAACGCCCGAGGCCCTCCGAGCCTTGCTCGAAGGCGAATCGTCTGCAGAAGCGTCGACTTCTGGAGCTCCGCGCGGATTTTCTCAGATCCGCGCTGGCCCCCTCTTCCCGGCGCGCGGAGCGCGCCCGGAGCGACGCCGGAGGCGCCGCCAGGGGGCCTCAGCGCAGGTCCAAGAAGTCCGAGCGGAGCTCCGACGGTCTTTTTATGCATCTTGTTCGTCCTCTACTTCCAGGAGGGAAAAAAACACACAGACACAATTAATCCTCGATTCCCAGGAAAATATGGGAAAATATGGGAATTGGGGGGGAAGACAAAAACCCAGAAAATATGGGAAAATATGGGGACTATTTTTATTTGTGTGTATTTATTTGTGTGTCCTAATTTCCCTTTATACTTGTGGGAAGGCCCGCCCTTTCTGCATTCTGAGATGACCGTTTGGGATTTGTCTATGGCCCAACCTACTCTACACATGTGCTACAGGTGCCTTCAATGCTTTCAGGGGGGGGGTAACGATCCGGGCTAAGTGGGCTCCGCCATTTTTGTGGAGTTCCCCAGCCCTACTAAACCACTCAGGGCACCTGTGACCCCAGGATTCTGGTGGCCCAGTTGTCGTGGGATGCTCGCAGCGGGAGCTCGCGTCAAACTTCCGACCGGGCCTCGTCATTCTCACGATGGTCCCGCCAGGCCAAAACGGGTCCCCCGAAATAGTGTCCTGCGTCTCCCCGACGTAGCAACCCCAGCGGTCATCTCAGTTCCCCTCGCGGGCTCGCCGCCGCGAAGGACGACCCCTGGCCCGGCGAGCCGCGCGCCAGCGCTACCGCGCCGGCGCAGGTCTCGCTGCTGGCGGCTGGGCTCATCGACGAGGCGGTCCCCGAGACGCAGGGGCCGCCGCGACGGCGCCGCAGCGCCCGGGCCGGATCGCAGCGCGCGGGCCAGGTCGCGCGGGCCCCCCCCTCGGCCACTCGCCGAGGGGTTTTGGGGGAGGGGGAAGGCCTCTTAGAAGGAAGCGGCTTCTTAGAGGGTGAGCCTTTCTTTTTCCCAGGGCGACGCTCGTTGCCCAGGCCAAACCCCCCCCACACCCCCCTGGGTAACGCCAACGATCGTGCTGGGGGGGGGGCTGGACCCCCCGCTACATGCTGTGGTGTACACAGGCGATTGAGGCGCCGGTTGCGCGGACGCACCCTGGCGGGTGCAGGCCGCGGCCGCCGGTACCGCTACCCTCCCGCCCGAACCCCCTCCCTCCCCAAGGGCGCTGGCCTTACAAAGCCCGCGCCTTCTAGGAAGCAGTCTCCCTCTAAGAAGCCGCCCCCCCCTCCCCAAGGGCGCTGGCCACACATCTGCAGACCAGGCCCGCGCCTTCTAAGAAGCAGCCTCCCTCTAAGAGGCTTTCCCCCCTTTCCCCCTCCCCCTATCACCCCCGGGTGCGCGCCGCCAGCCCTCCCCGGGCACGGCCGTGAGCCCGCGCCCCCGCGCCCGGCCCTCTGCTCGCCCCGGCCTCCACCCCCCCCCAACCCCCTTGCTCGGAGTAGGACACGGTACCGATGCCGCTGTACCCTTTCCTCGGTGTCGCCCTGTTGGGCCTCGTCGGCTGGTTTCGGCTGGCCTCGGCCTTCCCAACCCCTCTCCCCGAGCCCTCCTGCTCAGAGTAGGACAGGGTACCACTGCCGCTGCCCGTGCCTCGGTGTCGCCTTGTTGGGCCTCGTGGGCCGGCTTCGCCCTGAGAGTTCTGATCGGAACGCATCCAAGGGAGAGGTCCAGGGAGCAGTGGTCACGGTTTGTTCTCCCCATTTGCGTCCTCTTTCCCCCCCCCCTCCTCCAAAGACTCGGCCAGGCCGAACTCGGCCAGTTGACCTCGGCCCAGGCTGAACTCGGCCCAGGCCGAATTCAGCCTGGCCGAGCTCAGTTGGCCGAGTTCAGCTGACCGAGTTCAGCCTGGTCGGGTTTGGTTTGCTACCCTCTCCTGGATGGCGGGAGGTCAGTGGCAGCCTATAGGATGAGGATAATTACATCGCTCCAGAGCGTCAGTTCCAGGACCCTCTCAGAGCGTTCTGGATCGCTCTGGTGCGGCTGCGGTGCCCGATACATCCTCCAGACCCGCTGGGTCTCAGAGATTCCCGATCCATCATCGTCCAAATTTATCTTCGCCCTGCCTTCGTCTTCCCTCTGCGCCCTCCTCTCCCCCTTCGAAAGGAGGGAAGGGGGAGGGGGGGAGGTGAGGAGGCAATGAGGGGGGGTATAGTATGCAACTCTTCGAAGGTAACATTCAGCATCGGCGCTAGCCCGTGGTCGAGAAGCTGCCAAATATCGTAACATCCCAACAAGTTCGGTTTACTCCTGTGCTTAGTTTGGGCCGATTTGGCTTCTGGCCCCCTGGTCGGGCTTAACAGCCCGTAGTTCTTCCTACTAAGACCTCTCAGGAGTTGCCTCTTAACCGTTTGCGTGTGTGTGTGTTGTGTGTGCTTGTGTGTGTGTGTGTGTGTTTGTGTGTTTGTATGTGTGTGTGTGTGTTGTGTGTGTTGTGTGTGTTGTGTTGTGTGTTGTGTGTGTGTTGTGTGTGTGTGTGGGCGGGGGGGGAGGGGGAGGGCGGGCGGGCATGCCGGGCGGTCGACCCCCGAAGGCCAGGGAGAAGAGCCGGGGGACGCGCGACGACTACCGCCTGTACGAGGACCCCGCGGCCCGCGGCGGTGGCCGGCCCCCGGCGAGGCCGAGGGTCCCGCAAGGCAAGAGCAGGTGCTTGGCGTCGCTCGGACATGTGCATTTTTTTTTCGGCGAGAGGCATCGCTCGGACATGTGCATTTTGTTTCGGCGAGGACCATCGGGGACCATCCTGGACCATCGAGCACAAACAGCACGCACGAAGCCGACAAGTGTGCGGGAAGTGGGCGTCCGAGCGACGGCAAGAGAGTGCGTCTCTTGCCCGGGAGGGCCGACCGGGCTGCGGGACCGAGGCCCGACGGGAGAGAGACGCCGGGCTTCTCCTCCCCACGCCCCGCCGCCACAGGGAGGTGGGGGAAGGGGCAGACTGGGAAGGAGGAGGCCGGGAGGGGGAGGGGCGAGGGGGGGAGGGGGGGAGCGAGGGGGGGGGGGGGAGGAGAGACGAGAGGGGGAGGGAGGGGGCGGGGAGGGCATTGTGAGGGAGCGGGATGGATGGAGACGGTGATCCTGCGCTCCCGCCCTCCGTGTCCTTGCCTCTCTCTTCTTCATCCCCCCCGTCCCCAGAGCCACGGCGCGCCTACCCCCAGAGCCACCTACTGAGAGCCTCCTTGTCCTCCTCGCCCTCCCCTTGCGTCAGGGAAGGAAAGGCCACCCAGGCCCAACAGTTGACGCTTGCTAAACGGCCCTGGGCGTTTACTACACAGCCCTACCCTGTTCGATTCCTTCCTTCGGTTCGTTTACTAAACGGCTTAGCTTGTCGGGGTGATCGTCATGGGGGTGGATTTTCTCCCCTCTATTGCGACCCCCTCTCATCTTGCTCCCCCGCTGCGCCGAGGCAGGGGCAGGCGAATGTGCGGAGTCGGCCCTGGCCATCTTGCCACTCCGACGGCTGTGCGGCCCACTGCCACCACGCTCAAGCTGGAGCACATGTGTCGCCTTCACCTTCACCTCGAATCAGCATCGTGCGGCCTCCCCTGGCCCCTTGCCTCTCAAACCTGCTACCTCCTCCTCCTCCTGCTCCTCCTCCTCCTCCTCCTCCTCCGCCGCCTCCTCCTCCTACTGCTCCTGCTCCTCCTCCGCCTCCTCCTCCTCGTTCTCCCCCTCCCCTCCTTTTCCTCCTCCTCCTCCTCCTCCTCCTTCTCATCCTTCTCCTTCCCTCTTAGCGCGCTCCCCTGCTTGCGGGGGGAGGGGATGTGGCGAAGGAGGGAAGAGGGAGGGACTGATGAGGATGAGGATGAAGAGGAGCAGCAGGAGCGAAGAAGCTCGGACGGCGCGGCGGGACCCACTGGGAAACCGACGCGGACGCCGCAGCAAGAGCCGCAGCCAAGCCTGCCCGCGCCGAAGTGCGAGGAGGAGTTGGACTTCCCGGGGAGGACGGCGAGCCCCTCGCGAGGCAGATCTCCAACCCCACGGCCGCAATCCCGATCGGCGACGACGGGCAGCCAGTCCAGCGCGCGCAGCCGCAGCCCGCTGCGCTCGGACAAGGCCGGCACGGCGGCGGAGAGCTCATCGCCTGGTAGCGTGGGCGACCGCGAGAGCTCACGAAGCGCGCCACGTCGAATGCATGGCCCGAGGTGGCACTCGGCGGAGGACCGAGGTGCCTGGCCTTGCAACGCCTCGGGGCGCAGCCCAGCCACGCGCTGGCCAGGGAGCGCGGCACGGGGCTCATGAAGGCCCTCGGAGCCCGAAAGCCTCAGGGGGCTGACCGTGACGCCCAAGCAGAAGCCCTACCCCTGGCGCCAGGCTGGGAGCAGCCCCTGTGCGCGAGCCAACACGGGCAACAGCACACGCGGCGGGGGCAAGTGGAAGGAGTGAGCTGGGCGCAGTGCGCTGAGCACGCGAACTCCTACCAGATCAAGGACTTCAACAACAAGGACGCCGCCTCGATGGCTGCTGTCGAGGCGGCGACGGGTGGGCTGCCGACAGTTCTGCGCTTACCGATGCCGAAGGCGGGGGGAGTCCGTCAACAAAGTTACAACTTCGAGGGTCTCTTCGAAGGCTTCGGTGCGCCTGGTCGAGGAGCAGTGCGAGGGAGACTGGAGCCTACTTCGCGCTTAGCCACTCGATTGCGAGAGCCTTGTCGGCAAGATCGGCGCAGATGTGGAGGACGCCCAGGCTGCGCACTCCAGCGAGCCGCAAGCCCATGGGGGAAACGGGACCGCCGACCGTGACGACTGCGCGGAGCCCCCCCGGGTGCCCCGCCTGCATCGCGGGTGTGGTCAATGTCTTCGGTGAGGCCATGCAGCTCAGCCTCGCGGGGCGCCAGACGAGTCGGCCGCTCTGGATCGCCTCGCAGATCACGATCCCGAGTGACGCCGCCTCGAAAACAGCGGCTGCGGATGCCGTAGGTGGTCTGCCAGCCGATGTCTGGCTGAGTTTCCCTTCTCCCTCTCCCTCCCTTCCCTACCTCCGCCCGCTCCCAATGCGTCCCCTTCACCCTGGTCGCCCTCCCTCCCTCCCCCTCCCTCTCCCCCTCCCTCCCTCCCCTCCCTCCCCCTCCCCTCCCCCTCCCTCTCCCTCCCTTCCCCCCTCCCCCCTACCTCCTCCGCCCCCTGCTCTTCCGTGGTGTCGCTTGCTCGGCCGCGCCCGGCGCCCGCGAGGCAGTCTCCTCGGCTCCTCGGGGCGTGGCCCAAGACCAGGACAGGAGGGCCCCAGCGACGTCTGGTCGGCCCTCGACTGTGCGGTGTGCCGGGGATGTGGTGCCCTCTTGACACTGCGCGTCTTCCCCCCCCCGCCTCTCCTGGCGGGGCACCTGGCCTGCAGCGCGAGGGGCGCTGCGGGCGGCGCGCGAGGAGCGAGCGTGCTCCCAGTGTGGCGCGTGGAGCTTTTTCTGTCTCTTCCCCCCCTCTTCTCCTTCGCCCCCCGTCCTCCCCGCCGTCCTTCCCCCCGCCCCTCACCCTCCTCTGCTCCTCTCCTCCTCCTCCTCTCCTCCCCCTCCTTTGTTCCTCTCCTCCCCCTGTGCCCCCTCCTCTCCTCCTCCTCCTCCTCCTCCTCCTCCTCCTCCTCCTCCTCCTCCTCCTCCTCCTCCTCTCCTCCTCCTCCTCCTCCTCCTCCTCCTCCTCCTCCGCTCTCTCCCCCCCTTCTTCCCCCCCAGGAGGCAGAGGCGGTCCGCCTGCGCACGCCGCCTGTCACCCCGCGTGCGCCCACGGCCGTGGCGGGGCCAGCGGTCGGCTCGCCCCTGAAGGACCGCTGGGGGCAGAGGGGTCGTCATCGTCATCGTCGTCCTCGCCTCCTCGTCCTCGCCTCCTCGTCCTCGCCTCGTCATCGTCATCGTCATCGTCGCTCATCGTCTTTCCCTGACTCGTCGGCCGTTTTCGGACGTTCTCGTCGGCTCTCGGAGGTTGTCCAGCCTCGGGATGCTTGCTAGCAGCTGCGCCTCGCCGACGGCGTTCCAGGGGTGCCCGAATCGTCCCGAAAGCTCGCTGGAGACCCGAGTTATGACACAAAAACCAAATTCGGCGGCGAGCGAGGGAGGGAGAAGCGAGGAGGAGAAGACCTTCTCAGAAGGCGGCGGGACTTCTCAGCAGCCCTCTGGCCTTCTGAGAAGTTTGTAGCGTCTTCGGGGAAGGCTTACAAAACTTCTCAGAAGGCCGGGGGACCTCCGAGCCTTGAGAGAAGGTCCACCCCTCTCACTTCGCCCCCCTGGGCTCGCCGCCGACATGCTCTCTCCTCGGTGCTGTTGCGACGTCTTCGTTGACCTGGGCATAGGGGCTCGCAGCGTACAGATGGAACGCGCAGAGAGCGTAGCCGACGTAGGCGCGGTGGTCTACATATTAGATGTTGGTGGACGCAGCAAGGAAAGGCCAGGCAATGTAAGAAAAAGGAGCCGTGTAAAGGCTCGCTGCGACATAGAGTATGCGCCCACCTGGTCAGAGAGGGAGCGATGGAGGCTGACCTCCTCCTCCTCCTCTTCCTCCTCCTACTTTTCGTATTCCTCCTCCTCCTCCTCCTCCTCCGCCGCCGCCGCCGCCGCCGCCGCCGCCGCTGCGCGCGCGTATGTGCAAGGTCGGCGCGGCTCTCCCCTCGGCAGGCAGGCCTCTCCTGATGAAGGGGGGGGGATGGAGGTTGATGCGACGCGCGGCTTCGCAAGGTGCGTGCTCGATGAGAGAGGGGACGAAGGGCCAGGCGGGTGGCGCACTGGATCGCATGAGGATCCAACACTTACGCCACCGCCTGGCCTAGTCCCCGAAGTAAAAGAGGTCGGGGGCCTTCCTCCTCGCGGGAGCCTCCTCGAAGAAGAAGGAGCCGATGAGCCCAGAGCCCGCCGTCCATGGGGCTCTGGCCCTGTGGTCGAGGCTCCTGCGGCGCTCCCGCCTGGCGCGGGCCTCGCGCCGATTGGCCTCGATCCGAGCTCGCTGCTCCTCGTACAAGGCTGGAGGGGGAGGAGAAGGAGGAGGGACAAACGATGGCGTCGACGACGGGTCGAGAGGAACGGAGGGAGCGGGGTGAGCGGGGCTGGCCAAAAGGCCAAAGCATCCACGCCTTTCATATCATGATATGCCTGTTCATCATCCGCTGCAATTGCATCTTGCTCATCGGGCCTCGGAGCAAGACTGCGGTCAGCGCCAAGGTATCCTCCTGATGAGAGGAATCGGCAGCATCTGACAGAAATCTGTGAAGCTCTGGATCGACTCTCTTACGGCGAACCTTGCCAGCAAAGTCGGGTGGTACCTAGCACCTCTTGTCGGCTTCCGCGCTCCACGGAACATAGAAATCTTTGAGACCCTCTATGGCTTCCAGAGAATCTGGAGGGCAATCCACATCCGGGTCCTCGTCGGGACGGGAAAGGAAAGACAAAATCGAGGAATAGACAGCCCAGGCAATGGCCTGGCAATGGCTTGGCACAGGCCTGGGGGGATGGAGGAGGGGGGAGGGGGAGGCCTGCGATGCCCTCGATCTCGGCGGTTCCTCATTTTCGGCCATGAGGGGGCCGTTTCCCGGCTCCAGAATCATCAAACATGATCTGGGGCCAGGAACTGAGCCTGGCGAAAGGGTCGGGGCCTCTTCATCCGCGCATTGATTGGAGATTGCCGAAAAGGTTCGTCGCACGTTGTCGGTTTCGCGCATTCGGCCCCGCTGCAACTTCTCAAGCACAGGAAGAGCAAAGGCACCAGCGCCGTTGTCCTTGTTATTGGACCTTCTTGAATTGGACCTTGTCAAGCTTCCGAATTGGCAACAGTCATACGCTCAGGAACTGGAACTTTGGCTTAGCGTGTCGCTCCGCGGATTCTGGCGCACCTTGCTTCGGCGCGACACGCTATCCGCTTCCCGGTCCCCCAGCGTCGCCGTCCCGAGCTCTCCCCAGCCTCCCGCACCGCGGCGCGGAGCGGCACACTTTCCGCTATCGCAGGGCATAGCGCACAGCGTGTCGCTGGGGCCGCCACCGCGACACGCCAAGCCCGAGATCCCGACCGTCTCGTCGGCTGTCCGAGGGGCAGGCTCGCCGCCGCTTGCGAGCGCCTGCGGACCAGCCGATGGCGGGGCGGCGGCTGCCCCTCCCCCAGCCCACCCGAAGGGGGGCTCTGGAGGACTGCCCCTTTTGGGGCCCGCTCGATTGGTGCACGCGCGGGACGCGCACGGCCCTGATCCCAGACCCCCTCGCGTTATGACAAAATCACGGCGGAAGTTTTTTCGCTATTTTCGGCCTCACGGGGCCCTTGCAGGTCTTCGGAACCTTCAAAAAACGAGTCAGGGGAGGGGTCCAGACCTGGGGTCGATCTTGTGAAAAAAACTCGACGTCGGCGGTCTGGGATCACTGGATGCCTGAATTTTCTGGTCGCGGCCGACGAGGTCGGTCGCTACCGATTTTGCCTCAAGTTCCGCTGTCGGTCGCGACCGCTTGGCTTCAACATCGGTCGCGACCAGTCGCAAACGAGTGTGGGATCGGTCGCGATCAGTCGCGACCGATTTGGAGCGCCAGTTTGGAGCGCGACCCCACAAAAGCCGACCGGTGGAGGACGGCGCCCCCGGAGCCGCCGCGCTCGCGTCCCTGCTGCTCCCGGGGCTGGTGATGGAGGAGCGGCCGCATGAACGCTCGAAGTCCAGGCCCAGGAGGAGCCCAGCCGGGGGGGTCGTCGTCGGCGTCGGCGGCGGCGGCGTCGGCGTCGGTGTCGGCGTCGGCGTCGGAGTCGGCGTCGGCGGCGGCGTTGGCGTCGGTGGCGGCGGCGTCCGCGGCGGTGGCGGCGGTGGCGGCGTTGGCGTCGTCGTCATACTCGTTGTCGTCGTTGGCGTCGTCGTCCGTCGTCGTCGTCATCGGCGGCGGCGTCATCGTCGGCGTAGGGTGTGGAGGCTCAACGGGGGGGTGGGGGGGGGATTCCAGACATCTGGCATCTCAACAGAATCGAGACGAAGTTTTTTCATAATTTTCGGCCTCGTGGGGCTCTTACCGGGCCCCTGGACCGTCAAAGGTCAATTCGGGATGAGAGCAGTCCCGTGGAATGGGTCCAGACCTCTGAGGGCTCTGGCAGGTGGGTGGGAGCTTGAGATTGTGTCGTCTCGAGTTTTTCTAGCCGGGCGCTTTCGCCCAGCTTCAGCCCCCGGGACCCTCAAAGATCGATCCGCTTCGAATGATGGTGCAGAAAGGTTCGGTCCGGAGCTCCAGCATTAATTTCTCACGGGGCCTGGGCCTAGAGATCTAACGTTTTTCGTTTTTTTTATCGGCATCTAGATGCCTTCGCCAGGCGTTGGGAGAGTCAAACATGACTCAGAATGAAAAGCCCGTCACTGGGAGTGGGTCGAGACTCCCAGGGACCCCGTATCTTAGATATTGAATCTCTGGGGGGGACTGGGAGGACCGAGTTGAGACGGAGAGGGGACGGAGGGAATCAGCAGAGGAGAGGGCACCGACACCGCTGCCTTCCACCCGTCGCCACGGCTGGGAACTCACCTGGAAGTCCTAGTCAGAACGCGCTCCTGGAGAGGTCTGTGGAGTTGCGGTGTCGGTACCTGTGTGTCCTCCAAGGGAGGGGGGCTAGAGGGGAGGAGGGAGGGTTGCGAGGAGGAGGAGGAGGATGAGGAGGAGGACCGGTGTAAACCCACGAGCCATCAACGATGTTTGAATACACCCTCTCTTCAAGCTCCCTCTTCACAGGCTCCTACAACGGTTCATTTCCATCGAGGGAATTGCCTCGTTGGAAGGCAACCGTTCGAAGCCCCTGAGGCATGCCAAAACATTGCTCCCAGGATCCCAACGCCACGGATCAACCTGACTGTTGCGTCTTGACGATCCTGGATCGTGCCAGAACGCCATTCTTGGGATTTCAACACCGCGAACCAAGGTTACTGTGGCACTCGCAAAACCTTGAATCTTTCCAAACCACCATTTGTGGTACGATGATCATGGGAATCGGTTAATCTCTTCCCAATGTTATAAACGGATGTGCGCGCCGCTATGGCGAGAGCCACATTTTGAAAAGGAGACGCCCTCAATCCGTGAAGCCCTTGCAAATGTTTAAAAAGGAATGTGGGCGGCGCAAAGGCGAGAGCAACATGTTGAAAACGGGTTATCCTCAATCCGCGGAACCTTGCAATGTGTTAGAAAGAGTTGCGCGGCGCTAAGGCGAGAACCACATTTTGAAAACCACCCGCACTCCATCTGCAAAGCTATTGCCACTGTTCAAGCTTCAGGGTCATAAATGGTGATGAAGTCTCATGCGAAACGCCCGGCCCGCTCTAAAAACTGGCCTCGGGGTTTGACAGGGGGAAGTACTTATAAGGAAAAGGAATGGAGGAGGAGGAGGAGGAGGAGGAGGAGGAGGAAAAAGAAGAGGAGGAGGAGGAGGAGGAGGAGGAGGAGGAGGAGGAGGAGGACCGCGCGCCGGCACCTACCCCACCTGACCATGCTGGGCCCTTCCGCCTGCGCTCGCTGCCCTGCGCCCGCCGTCCACCGCAAAAGAGCGCCCGCCTCCTCGCCAGCCGCTCCCGCCACGCCCGAGGGACGGGGATGCGGGAGGTTGAGGGGAGCAGGGCAGGAGGAGTCGGGAGAGGAGGCCTGGGGCGGGCGTGGGGGACGTTGGGAGAACAGCAGTATGGGCCTTGCGAGTATACAGAGCGCGCCAGGGCCTGCGGCGGCATGCAAGAGCTGCCCCGGGGGGGGATGTGTGGGAGGAGTAGTGGCGCACCTGGGTCCCCAGGCCCGTCAGGGCTTCAAGGTTAGGAGAAGAAGAAGAGCAAACAGAAGAAGAAGAGGAGGAGGAGGGGGAGGAGGAGGAGTGACACTGGGAGATCATTGTCGGCGTTGGCCGCCTTGGGCTTTGGCCCTGGGCCGCCGCGGACTACTTTGACCCAGCGCGGCAATCAGCGCCTCCGCCAGCTTGCACCTGCTCCCGCCCACCACCTCGCGAGATGCTCCCTTTGCTCCACGTTCCACCTGCACCGCCGCTTGCACCCTCCTCTCTCCTGCCCTAGCGAGCACCCTCCTCCCCATCTCGAGGGGATCCCCTCGCACCCCGCCCTCAGCTCAGCTCTCAGCCTGGCACTTTCCCACAACGCTCGCTACCCACCACTGGAACCTCCAACTGTGCTCCTGTTCCTGCTAGACAGCCTCTCCCCCTACCTGCAGCGTGTTGGGGGTATCTGTGCATGCGGACCCGCAGCGCCTGCAGAGCACCTTTCTCCTCATTATTGAATCGCTTCGCTCATTCCGCCGGCCCGTGATATGGCATCGCTGGTTTTTGTCTGTGTGTTCGTTGCCCATGTTGCGCTCTTGGGGGCGGGTGTCGTTCGGACGCGTTGCGTGGGGAGTTTTGATGGTGAAGCAGTTCCCTGGGGGTCGTCTCTCGATGGGGCGAAATAGAGTCGTCGTCAAGATGCTTCTTTGGGGGGCCTCTTGGGGTCTGTTGAGAGGCCGTTCGGGGGCGCCTGGGAGACATGTTTGAAGCCTTCTGGGGCTTCTTTTGGGCCTCCTGGGAGTCTCCTGGGGCCTCTTGGCGACATCTTGGGGCCTCTTGGAGGCCTCTTGGGGCCTCTTTGGGACCTCCTGGGCGCCTTCTGGGACGGAGGGCTCCATTTTTGAGTTCTCGGTATCCCTCCTGAGTCCCTCTTGGGCCCGTCTTGGGGCCTCTTGGTCCGTCTTGGGCGGCACTTGGGCCGTCTTGAGGGCTCTCTTGGGTCGTTTCGGCGCCGTCTTGGGAGCTTCGTGGGCCGTCTTGGAGCGGTCTTGGGGGCCTCTTGGGCCGTCTTGGAGCGTCCGGAAGCCGAAAAAGCCAGAACACAAAAAACATCGAAAAAAACAATGAAAATCAACGATTTTGGCCTCTTGGGGCTCTCTTCGGAGGCCTCTTGGAAGGCTCTTGGGGCGTCTTGGAGGCCTCTTGGGCTGTCTTGGGGGCCTTTTGGGCCGTCTTGGGGTCATCTTCGGCGTCTTCGAGCGCTCTTTGGGCGTCTCGGGGGCCTCTTGGGCAGTCTTGGGGGCCTCTTGGGGCACTCTGAGCGCGCTCTGGGGAGCCTGAGAGGCCGCACCCAGAAGGAAAACCATCTCTGAGTAGACTTGGTCGGGCGGCGGTCGGGCGGCGCCGGGCGTTGGTCGGGGTACTTTTCGCCGGGGGACCCCCAGGGGCCGCCCCGCGCGCGCGAACTAGAAATACTGTTAATACTGTTAACCAGTTACCGGAGATCTTAGCACGCCCTGGCCCGTTGGGCCGGCGAATTCCTTTCTGTGTTGGGTCGCAGTTCCTCCGTCGTCTCCGCCGTTGTGGTCGGTCCCCTCTCTTCCCTTCCAAATTCGATTTGTGTTGGCAGAAGAGATGTTCCGCCCTCTTACTTGGCGAAGGGCGCGGGGGAGACCAACAACGGCCCAGTGCTTGCACGCAGCGGTCCACAGTCCTGAGTCCTGCGAAGGAGGGAGGGTTGAGAGAAGGAGGAGGAGGAGGTGGAGGAGGAGACGTAGAGCGGTACCAACACCCATGGCAAGGCACCCAGCGAGGCCGAAGAGCGTGACAAGGCAGGCAGCCTGCGTCCATGCGCCCACTCGGGCCCAACCTGCCAGATATGTGTCCGCAACAACGGAGACCAGCAAGGCGACAAGGCAGGCGACGTGCCGCTGCGACGTGGTTGACATCGCGACGAGCTCGGAGATACCCACGGCCGCCAGGCCGAGGGCCCCCGAGGCTATCCGCGTGCCCACGCCTGGTATACCGCCCCCACCAGCGCGAAGCAGCACCGCGGCCCCATGCCGCAGCAGCGTGATGAACTGCACGACGAGCTCGGAGAGGACCACTAGCACCGAGACGGCGTACCCCAGGGCCCATCCGCTGACCACGCCCGACACGAGACCTATCATGACGACCGGGCGACTCGCCCTGCCTCGTCTGTTCGCCCTCAGCCCGCATTACGCGGCCGAGGCTCCCTAGGGAGGGCATGGCTGGATGTGGGCTACCCCTTCCCTGTCCCACGGCTCCCCTCGGCCGCGGCACCCCGCGGGTGCGGGCCAGTGAAAGGCCGAGGTGCTCCCTGGGGAGAAGCTTTGCGGCGACCGCCCTGCACCACGAAGCGGCGGATCGGACGGGGCCAAGACGAAGATAAATGCGTGCCAGATCGTTCCGGAACGCTCTCAGAGCATTCCAGAACGCTCTGGGAAAGCTGCGGCGCCCAGGCATCCTCCGGACCCGCTGGATCTCGGATATTATCGGTATACCCTCACCCGATGTTCTCCTCTTTCTGGCTTCGTCTTAGCAGAGCACCAGGCCAGCATTCAGCATGAGGAATCGGGTGGCGGTGTGCGACCCAAGTCGAGGCTGCACCCTTGGAACGGGGAGAGGGCTTCGACTGCAGAGTCGTCGATGCCCCGGACCGTGAGAAAACTATTCAGTACGAAAAGCAGGTCCAAGAGAAGGGGTCCAGACATTTGGGGACCCTCTGGGACCACGCATCGACAAATTCGAAGCGCGCGGATGTGTAGGACCCTGGGGCCTTTGATCTCGCGCAGGCCAGTTTAGCTCGAAGGCGGCGGGTTGAATATGCGCGCGATCGCGCTCCCCTTCGCGCTGTCGCCGTGGTCGCACCAAGCCGACGACCCTGCAGTCGCCACAGCGCCGAGGTCGTGCCGTGCGGGAGATTCCTCGAAGGTGGTAGGCTGGGGGCACACGTAGCTGAGACCATGATGACGACTATGACGGTGACGATGACGATTGCGATGGCGATGATGGTGATGATGGTGATCACGGTGATGGTGATGATGATGATGATGATGATGATGATGATGACGATGACGATGACGATGACGATGATGCTGATGATGATGATGATGATGATGACGATGATGATGACGATGACGATGATGCTGATGATGATGATGATGTTGATGCTGGTGCTGATGATGATGATGATTATAATGATGATGATTATGATGCTGATGAAGAGGAGTAGGATGAGGACGAGGATGAGGATTATGATAATGATGATAATGATGAGGATGAGGATGAGGATGAGGATGGTTTATGATGAGGATGGTGCTGATGCTGATGCTCATGATGCTGATGCTGATGCTGATGCGCTTAGGATGATGGTGACGATGATCGGTGGTGGTGATGGTGATGCTGATGACGGTAATGATGATGGTGATGTTGATGCTGATGTTGGTTATGCTGATGACAATACTGAAGCTGATGTTGCTGATGATGGTGATGGGCATGGTGATGGTGATGATGCTGCTGATGCGGATGAACATTGGTATGAAGACGAATAGCTTGATGAGGATGATGATGCTGATGATGGTGATGATGATGGTACAGATGTTGTGAGTTATGGTGGGTATGATGATGATGCGGATGATTATGCTGATGATGATGCTGATGGAGGTCATGTTGATGATGATGATGGTGATGCTGTTGCTAATGCTGAAGGTGGTGATGCAGGTGCTGGTGATGGTGATGATGATGATGGTGATGGTGATGATGATGAGGATGCTGGTTAGGAGGAACATAGATATGAAGAAGATGATATTGATGAGGTTGATGATGATGATGTGGATTATGCTGATGAGGATGATGATGCTGGTGTTGGTGATGATGTTGGGATTCAGGATTATGAGGTAGCTGATGGTGGTGATGGTTATGATGCTGAGAATGATGATGATCATACGGCTGATATTGATGATCATAATGGTGACGATGATGATGTTGATGGTGATGATGCTGCTGATGATGACGAGGCTGATGATGTTGTCTTTGCTGATGCTGATATCTGTGGTTTTGATGCTGATGTTGATGATGATGCTTATGCTGGTAATGTTGCCGATGGTGGTGGTGGTGATGATGATGCTGCTGATGGTGATGGTGAGGATGCTGATGCGGGTGATGATGGCTGGTGGGTGATGTGTGACGGATGATAGATGAGAGGTGGATTGTCGGTGGTGAGGATGATGGAATGTCTGATGCTGCTGTTGATGGTCATGATTCTGGGTGCACCTGGCCACAAGAGAAGCGGACCTTCACATGATAATGATGATGGCGAAGATAACGGTGATAATGATGCTGCTGCTGCTGATGGTGATGACGATGTGGAGAGGACGCAGGGTAAGGGATAAGCAAGGAGGGGCAAGGCGGAAGGGGAGCGAGGGGGGGCGAGGAAGTCGGGGAGGAGGAGAGGGGGGACGGCCTGGGCTCCCGGTCGGCCAGAGGAGCTGCGCGAGCAAGGAGAATGCCCCCCTGCTGCTGCCGGGCTCGGAGACGCCGACCGTGGCTTCTCCGTCCCTGCTGGCCTAGGTGCCCCGAGCCGCACGCGCGAGAGGTGTGGCCTGTGATCCAGGGTGGCTGGAGGGCCTCGTGGCGGGAGAGGATGATGACGGTGGGGATGACTATGCCGGTGAGTGGTTACGATAGTGAGGATGTAGATGATGCTGCTGGTGATGCGCAAGGCGACCAGGGAGGGTGGTAGCATGATGGGACACCAGGGCCAGTAATAACAAGAAGCATGGGATGGCAAGGCAGGAGAGGAGCAGGAGCATCTCATTTCCCCTCTCCTCCTCCTCCTCCTGCTCCTTCTCTTCCTCCTCCTCCTCCTCTTTCTCCTAATCTCCTACCTCCGCCTGCTCCTCCATCCTCCTCGTGATTGCCACCATCCACTCTCCTCCTCTTATCACCTTCATGCGTCTTCCCTCTTATCACTCCTCTATCTTGATTTATCCTCCTCATCTTTCTTCTCGTCGTCGTCACCCTTATCTTGTTCCTGCTCCCCCTCCTCCTCCTGCGCCTCCTGCTGCTCCTCCTTCTCCTCCTCCTCCTCAATAATATCCTCCTTCCCCTCCTCCCCCCCATGTGAGAAGGATGGGGAGGCAAAACAAGGGTGGCCTCAATTGATTGTAATGCACGAGTGGGCCGTGCTCGCTGAAGAAGCCCCACTTTTTTGCGTATGCTATCCAGCCGCGCTGTCGCGCACGTCCGTTGCCGAGGCTTCGCAGAAGCTGCGCAGCACCGCGCCGCGCGTGGACACGGCCGTCTCGTCTCCTTGTTGCCCCTGCCCAGGTACGTATACATGACTCGAGGGCGGGGGGGGGTCCTGCCACGGCCTGCCGACGGCCTCTTCGGGGTCCTCATGGGCTCTCCATGGTTGCCCGCGGTCCGGTCGGGCCGGCTACGTGCAGTCGATTTCGTTCGGGTGGTGATGATGATGATGATGATGATGATGATGATGATGACGACGACGATGACGATGATGATGATGCTGATGATGATGCTGATGATGATGACGATGACGATGACGATGACGATGATGCTGATGATGATGATGATCATGATCATGATGATGATAATGATGATGATGATGATGCTGATGATGATGATGATGATGATGATGATGATGATGACGATGACGATGACGATGCTGCTGATGATGATGATGATGCTGATCATGATCATGATGATGATGATGACGATGACGATGACGATGACGATGACGATGATGCTGATGATGATGATGATGATCATGATCATGATGATGATCATGATAATGATGATGATGATGAAGAAGATGATGATGATGATGATGCTGATGCTGATGATGATGATGATGATGATGATGATGCTGATGATGATGATGATGATGATGATCATGATGATGATGATGATGATGATGATGATGATGATGATGATGATGATGATGATGATGATGATGATGATGATGATGATGATGATGATCGGGTATGGGCGGAGTGGTCTGGGAGCGGGGCTCGGCACAGCCACCTTGCATTCGGCATGCATACCCACGGGGCCCTCAGGCCCCCAGGGCAGAGCGAGGCGACGAGGGAACCCCGAACGCCCCAAGACGCTGGCGGCCGCGCGGGGCCGCCAGCCAGACGGGCAGACAGCCGCTATGACCACTGCCGTCTGAGGCTAACAGGAGCATCGCGAACAGTCCGCCCCTCCGCACGAGCCCTCGCGGGCCCGGCGGTCACGGGCGTCCCAGGACCAGGAGACGGACCGACAACGGCCACCGCGGGGCCGTCGGGCGAGTTCTTCGAGCCGCGCCCAGCCGCCCCAGAGCTCCGAGGCGCAGCTATCATCGCGCGGCACACGGCGCACGGTTGCGCTTGGCCGCCCCAAGGAGACTCGTCGGGCTCAGCAGCCGCATCGTTGGAGAGGTCGACACTGGAAGCGACGCTGCCCTCACCTCCCGAGCCCCACCATTTAGCTGCGCCGCTACTCTTGCAAGCCGCACGCGAGCTGCGGCCGCGCATGTGCCTACGCGCTGCCCGCCGTGCCGCAACGGCAACGGAGAGCAGGCCCTACCGCAGCGGCATCAGGAGCAGCCTGTCCCGCGAGGGCCGTCGCTTCCAGCACGAACGGCACCCGCTCCGAGCCGCACAGGCGGCCGCCAGTAAGCCCTGCCGCAACAGCACCAAGAGCAGCGAGTCGGCGAGGACTTGGTCGATACGGATGATGATGATGGATGCACTGCTCTAGCTGAAGCAGTGACACTTCGTGCTTCGATCATCATGATCAATATCATCATCATCATCATCATCATCATCATCATCACCATCATCATCATCACCACCATCAGCATCATCATCATCATCACAATCATCATCACCACCATCTTCATCATCACCACCATCAGCATCATCACCACCATCATCATCATTACCATCATCATCATCATCATCATCATCATCATCATCATCATCATCATCATCATCATCATCATCATCATCATCATCATCGGGTTTGGCCAGTCGTTGAGCTGCTGCCGCGTCGCCGCGTCCTGCTGGTGGCCTGTCGACTTCGGTCGGCTTCGGTTTTTCGCTGCAGGTGCGACTGGGGTTTTCGATGGCGCCGTCGCCGTGGGCGGCCTCTCGGTGGCCCGGGGGGACGCGGATGGGGGAGGAGGAGGCGGAGGAGGAAGAGGAGGAGGAGAAGGAGGATGAGTAGGAGGAGGGGAGGAGGAGGAGAAGGAGGAGGCGGAGGAGGAAGAGGAGGAGGAGGAGCATTGTTTTGGAGGGGTCTCCAGCTATTTCGAGGACCAGGGGCCTCCGGGGCCGCCGGGCGCCGCGCGTGGCAGCTCCGGGGCCGCCGGGCGCCGTTCGCGGCAGCTCTGGTGCCGTGGGGGAGCCAACTGGAGGCCATCTTGAGCCCACCAGGGTGGCAGCGCATACAGTTTTTGGTCTGCGGGGCGAGAGCGAACCTCTTCCTCTAAAAGCTAGGCGGGCTACGCACAGCTTTCATTTGGGAGACAGGGCACAGGGAGGCGGGGCCTCAGGCGGCCGGAGCGGGCGGAGCCCGGGGTGCAGGCGGTGCCGAAGAGCTTGCACAGGAGTAGAGTGGCAGCGCATACAGTCAGGAACCAGTGCTTGGCGTGTCGCGCCGCCCCGGGCCGCGGGAAAATATGTCCCAGGGGGTTCGGGGCCATCTTGGGCTCTCCTTCCAGGCAGGGAAGTGTTCGGTCTTGGGAGGCAGTGCCTGGGCCGCTCTGAGGCCGTCTTTAACCAGTCAGAAGGTACCCTGGCACATTTTACGGTGTTCTTGGGTCAGCTTGGGGCCATCTCCCCCCCCCCTCCTGGAGCTATCTTGATATTCGTGTCATGCGTGTGCGTGTGATTGGTGGTTGGGTGGGCAGCATGCGTGTTCAAATCACTTCCCAACGGAAGGGCTTCACGCGAAATCCGATCATGATGCCGATGTAATTTACCGTGGCGAATGCAGACTTCGACTGGGAACGGCTTCACCGTACGAGTTCGTCCGACTTCACCCCCGATAGCTCTTAGTATGCATTGCGTTGGACTGAGGTGAACTGCGCTGGGCCGAGATGGACTGAGCCAGCCTTCGCTGGGTTGAACTGGACAGAGCTTGGCTCTGCTGGTCGCATGTGGGTTCAGGTTGACTGAGTTTGACTGAGCTTGGCTGCGCTGGACTCAGCTGGAATGGTACGTATCGGGCTGAGCTCAGGGAGGGGCCGCAAACCGATGAGATGGGCTGACCTGGGATGAGCTTGGCTGAGCTGGGCTCAGTCGTTCAGCCGTATTGGTCAGAACAAAACTGGACGGACTTGGAATGAGCAGGGCTTGAACAGGGCTGTACTGAGCTGGGAACAAGCTGGGCTGGGCTGGACTAGGCTGTACAGAAGTGGATTGTGATCGACTGAGCTGGGCTCAGGTGGACTCAGCTGGGCTCCCCTGACTTAGGTGGGCAGAGCTGTACTGAGCCAGGCAGAGCTCGGCTGGGACGGGTTGCGCATGACAGCTGGTCTACGCTGGGCTGTCTTTAATGCGGCTGAACTGAGTTGGGCCGAGCACGACAGAACTTGACTGAGCTGGGCACTGCCATGGGCTGAAGTGTACCGAGACTGATTGGTCAGGGCGACGCTGGACTGAGCTGGATAGGACTGTAATGGGCTGGGCTGGACAGGGCTGAGCTGGGCTGGGATGCGCAGAGCTGGATTCAATTGGATTGAGTTTTGGTCTGGCTTGACTTTTTTGTTTGGCTTTGCTTGACAATGCTGGAGTGAGCTGGGATGTTCATGGCGGAACGGGCTGAGCTAGACTTGTGAAGGATTGAGATAGGCTGCGCTGGACAGAGCTGAGCTGAGCGGGAATCCTGCTGGACTGAGCGGGTTTGGCATCGACAGAGGACCGCAGATTCGGACAGAGTCGGACTGCGTTGGGCGACGCAGCTATCCTCAGCGGTACTGAGCCAGTCCAGGCCTGGCTGATCTGAATTGGGCTGTATTGTGCAGGTCTGAGCTGGGATTAGCTCGGCTGAGCTGGGCCCATGTTGGACTCCGCATCAAGAATATCATTCGGGGTCATTCTGTGGAGTGTGATTACAGGCTGGGTCTGCGGCCGCTTGAGTTCACCAACCAGAAGAGCGGAAGAGCGCGACCACCCGCTTTTGTGCTTTTGAAGGCGTGGCCGGCCACCGCTCGGATCTCCCATGGCCCCCTAGAGGTAGAACGGCAGATCGTGATCCCTTGCGGGAGAGCGGAAGTCCGCTCGGGTGTGTGCGCGCCCACTGGGTGCGTCGGCCGCCCACTGGGATTCCAGATCTTTTTCTTTCTGGCAGAGCGGCCGAAAAGGTACGCGGGAGGGCGGGCGCCCTATTCCGATCGACTTCTCGACACGCTGAGTCGACCGACTGTGCGCATTTGGGTAATTGGTGCGGGGCGCCCTTGGACGCCCTTTGGACGCCCTTTGGGCGCCTTTTGGGTGCCTTCTTGGACATCTCTGGGACTTTGGGGCGCCTTTCGGGAACCAGCGGGCACTCCTGGAGAG